TAACAGACAGGTGTGTACTCGCGCTTCATGTATTGTGGGACGTTATGAGCACACATCCCTGGTGATGACTTTCCAGAGTTGCCAATAAACCGTCACCCTCATGGATTTATTACTACAACTAACTGGACTCTGGGCTGTATTTCATTATTACACCAAAAGCAACAAACCCACAGCAATGCAAGTTATAGCTGGCGCTTCTCACCAGCATCGCCTCCTCTTTTCTTCTTCCAGTGTCTTCACACTCACTTACAAACCCCTGCACTTTAAACTCTGCCGTGTTATCTTGCTTTCTGCTGTCCTCCACCCTCTGTTATCATCTCCCCATCTGCTCTCGTTTCTTGTTTCCCTATGATGAAGGTTCTCAGGGCAGCTGATAATGTCACAAGTTAACGGACCTGTTTGCCTTCCCTGCTGCACCCACTCCTCCTTTTTTTTTTTTTTTGTCCTTCACTTCTGGCTCTTTTGTCCACCCCCCTCCTCTGTGATAGAAATGTTTTTCTTCCTTGTAAATCGGAGGTTATTTGAACCCAATCTTAAAGACTTGAGTTACAGGGTTAGTGATATATAAGAAGAAATGTGCCATTTTCAGCTCACTGTATCTCGACCTCAAGTCTTTTTCTCTTGCTCGGCTGTGAGTCATGTTTTAATGCCACCACATGTCTTTTTAGGAAACCTTCCACCTACTTGTCATGCAAGTAATCTCAAATAACCCGTCCTCTCCTCCTCATCTGTCCATTTATCCCCGTGTTCTTTTTTCCCTCTAACTTCTCTGCCCTTTGGTTTGGCTCTCACTCATGTCTCTTCTCTCCCACGTCATCTCCCAGGTGGAAGAGGAGCTGTTGGAGCAGGAATTCTTAGAGCGCTGCTTCCAGGAAATGCTGGAGGAGGAGGACCAGGATTGGTTCATCCCTTCGCGTGACCTCAACAACCAGGGGGTGGGGCAGCTGCAGCAGCAGCTCAACAGCCTGTCCGTCAGCGATCACCACAGCAATCTGGAGGAAGTGGCGGTGAGTCACAGATGCATCTCATTTCACAAGAGTCTTCTTCTTCCAAAGCACCCTTAGAAATTCATAATGAACACATGGGTTTAGGTTAACTGGAGCGTGTTCTCACTCATGTCTTTTCCTGCAGAGGAAGAGCATCTTGAATCCCGAAGCGAAGGAGTTCGTCCCGGGGAAGAAATACTAGGAGTCCCCCTCACCCCCATGGAGCCTCCACGTGCACACAAACACACACACCAGTCCTCACATATTCTCAGAGACTCTGGCGGCCACGACCGCGCACACACTGATTCTCACACACACACGCATGCACACACACAGACCTATACACACTTGAAGTCAGTGGCGTGCTGGCAGGCCCAGTCGGGGGGTGGGGGGATTTCTTTTTCTTTCTTTCTCTTTTCTTTATGTTTCTTTAATCTTTTTATTTCCTGTTTGTTTCTTGTAAACTGAGGGACATTGGGAACAGGGGTGGGGGAGGGGTGTAATACCAGCACCGCCCTACTGCGGGCGCTAGCTCATCATTGCATTTCAGATGACGCTGTTGATGTCTGCAGAGTATGCAGATCTCATTGAAGCCCCCTTTTGAACTGAGGCAGCTACCAAGGAGTGATGCCAGGACAAAACTTAAAATCCAAAACATCGAATAAACTTAAAATTACTTCACATACTTCTTAATTTGTTTGCTGTCAAATTGGAACAACATTGCGTAACATTAAGTTGAGGGTTTCCAGGACAGAGAGGTTAGAGAGCGACTAATATTTCAGGGGACTTGATGGGTGTCTGCCGCTGCTCTGTGGAGTCATCGCGCTCAATCAAACCCGTTAAGGTTAGCTCCTATGATGTCATAAGCTCCCTGTGACATCACAGCGCATGTGCGTCTCGAGATGCGGGTTGTTATTTGTATCCGCAGCGGCTCTGTTCCAAACCAAATACAGACCCCACCCTCCCTGTACACGTGTGCGATCAGTGATCAGAACATGGACAGGCGTAATCATGGATGAATTCTTATTTTTCCCAATTTATGTGGAAGTCCATGTTTATCTTTAGTCCAGCTTATAAGAACAGAGGTGTGAGTCGCCCAGTCATACATCAAGTCGAGTTCAGCAAGAAAAATGTTATAACAGAGGGAAGGTCAGAGCTTTTTGAACCTTTAAACACTCGGTTATTTTCATTTTTGTGTTCACAGTTTCAGTCTTTGTTTCATTTTGGATTCATAACATTTATTGAACAACCTTGTTACAGGGGAGTGTTTGGTCTGGAACTCAGCCACTGCCTCTTTCTGCCGGAACAACTTGGTTTGTCCAGCATCAGATCAAGTGTCCATATCCAAATCAGGTTTTCAAATAGCCTCTCCTCCTCTTTTTTTCTTTTTTCTTCATGTTTTTGAGGATGAGGCGTTTTGTGTCTCTACTGGGTACAGTAGCCTGTGGTGTCCATTCAGTCCTGTTTGTAGGAGGAAACCTGAGGAGACAGTATTGTCACAGCCAGTCAGAATAAAGCAGTATGCGACACGTGGCCGACAGTATGGCCTCCTTGCTGTTCTTCTCTTTGTAGGTTGACTTTTTTTGAGGAAGTTCTTCCCTTTAACCATTGATTTCTGTTGTGGTCTGGCTTTCCCTGAAGCATCACCCCTTACTGCAAGTATAATCTTCATTTTTAAGTTGTGCACCAAAAGGAAAAGGTTTTCAGGAAACCCAGATTCTTATTAACAGTTAAATACATTTTTCTTATTCTCAGCCAGCTTGGCTTGAAAATCTGGAGGCAGTATTGACAAGAGGAAACATCATGTGATCTGAACATCAATCCTCCTCATGCCACTGTTCATTCATGGTATTAACAGTGACATGTGTATCTTACTCTTAGGGTTAAGTAGACAATTGTGCATTTGTTACTTGCATTTAGTATCTAACAGGTGAAAGCACTTCTGTCCATCCAAGCAGCTTTTTAGAATTTTCACCCTATCGAGTCAACTCAAAGTGTGTTGTTAAACCGCAGCAGAGACCATGAGTATGTGGTTAAAAGGGAACTTCCTCACACAGTGTTGGACCACAGCTGTCAAATGGCACCCTGGTGAAGCCAATAGGAATGTCCGCCAGGTGGATTGTACAACATGAAATCATTTTTGGTGATTTTGTTTGAGTTAGATGACAGAAGCCGTTTAAGAAAAAGAGGTCCAAATGACACAGAGTATGAATTTCAATACAAATAAAAATAATGAAAAAAGACGAATAAAGATGTTAAAGACAAATGCCTTGTGTCAGCCTTTTGTCACACTTTGATACAGTTGATAAAGACCCCTGATGAACCCATGTGGTTTGGTTGTATTTATAAATTCAATATTGACTAGCCCTTACCCAATAATATAAACCAGACTCAAGTGAAAATAGATTCTATTTCATAGTAAAGGATCCAGATCTTCCCCAAAATTTAACTGGTTCTTCCCTGGCCCATGACCCATCCCTCCACCAAGATCAGTACAAATCAGTCCAGTGCTTCTTGTGTAAAACTGCTTACAGACGGGTGAAAACATAACCTCCTTGGTGGCAGTTAAGACAGTAAAGATGCAGCAGGTTCTGTCATGTAATACATGTACATACACGCAGCCTTTATAAAATGACCAATGACTCATTTTATACACTTTGACGCACAATATATTTTAGTATAGAAACTCTAGGTTTTAAATTGAACTATGCTACTGTGAACAAATTAAGTGTGTGTGTGTGTGTGTGTGTGTGTGAGAGAGAGAGAGAGAGAGAGAGACGAGAGTGAAATTTTGATGGTAACCCTGTCAGAGTAATGAGGTCATTCAGCTCTTACTCTTACATTAATAAGCACTGTGCAGAAACTCTCCATTGACCAGCATGTGCAGAGGACACATGAAAACTGCTGGAAATGTATAAGTAGATAAAAAGACTTAATACTCTGCCTTACATTGTGCTTTTAGCTAAATGCTAATGCTTGCATGGCAATGCTAACATGCTGATGTTTAGCAGGTCTAATGACGTTCAGTATATTTTGTCATTCTAGTTTAGTGTGTTACCATGATATCATTTGCTAATTAGCATTAAACACATTGATTAGAATAGCATTTAGTCAAAAAAGAAAAAGTTAGGATAAACTTAATCACTCTGCTGAGGGGAACATGAATGTGTCTAGAAACAGTTGTTTACATATTTCAGTCTGGACCAATCAACCCACAGACATTATCATCCACAGAGCCATGATAAACACAAGACTAAAAATCTACATCTGTCAAAATACACACAGTGTGAAAGAGTGGAACCGGTCCCGTTCATAACGATATGGATTCGAGATGATTAAAAATGAAAAGCTCACACATTAGTCTGATTCTTCCTAATGTACATATTAACACATCTCTTTATACACTTTATTAAACTGATGGAAGTCCTTCCTTACTCTCGTCATGAATCTCGGGTTCCTTCCTGAAAGATTCATTTGTATATTGTACAGATATATATATATATATAAATTATATTCATCTCCACCCAATTCAACTTGTGTCCTTCATGTTATTTACCACAGATATTAAAATAACTTCAAGCACCAAAGTCAGTAAAATAATAGAAAACTATCACTTTTTTATATTTAATAGTTTAAAAAATTGGTTTCTTTATAATCATAACAGTTTAACAGTAGTTGCTCTGTCCTTATACACAAAGATGAATAACCAAACACATATCATTATATGGCAGGACTTTGTCTGCAACACAATTCATGAATATTGCCATGTTGATATTTTCATACATTATCACTCAAAGTGATCACACACTCCACTCACCAATGTGTCTGAGGGTTCTGTCAGTTTAACACCAAACATACAAATATAATACATCAAGCACGAGACACCACTGACCAGAAACCTTCCCAAACATACATACACAATGTCAAGACTGACGGTGACTAAAACAATCCCACCACAAGGTCCATTAAGAAGCTGTTCTGGAGCTTTGTATTGTTTCACAGGATCTTCCTCAGCAGATGGATTTTGCCCAGTTGTCATGGAAATGGACAGTAGATGTTTAAATTTCAATTTTTCTGAAGAATTACATCTTTGAACATCTACAATCCATGATAAATCCATGTCCCGAGGAAGATTTGACTGACAGTGAACAGCTCCCCAGTGAACCGTGTGGTAAGACCAACAAACCAGTGTTAACCCACATCTGAACAAATGGAAACTCTAAGAAGAAGAGAGACGTATTTCATAGATATGGAGCTTGAAGTTGAGCCAGAGCAGACTGCTGCAGGTGTGTTATCTGTCAGTGAATATATCAAATTTTACTCTCAGCATAACTGGCATGTTCTCATTGTTATTACTCTTAAATCAATGAAGAATTGATGACTTTTAACCCAAGTTGTATGAATCTTGTGTTGTTTGAATCTTGCATTCAGGAAGGCGGCACAACGTCACACTGTTCATTATCAACTTCAGGAATCGCCGCCTGACGTCTGAGAACCTGGACACTCTGTCGGCGTTCATGCCCACACTGGAGCGCCGCCTCACTGGAGAACCTGAACCGCCTGCGTCGCTGATGGCGAACGTCAGGACAGACTGCCTGAGATCACCCTTCACTTACAAAGACGAGGACGTGGAGAATGATAGACTCTGTTCTTTGGTGGCAAAACCAGCACGGGTCATGATGACGCCTGCAGGCTTTAGGTAGCTCAAATATACTGTCCAATCATAATGAGACCGTGTGGTTCATGTTTTCATGTTTAAATAGAAGTAAAACTCGTCCTCCAGGCTTCCTGCTGGCAAACTCCTGTCTCCAACCCACCCAGACAAAGTTCACATCATGGTCCTGAAAGCAGACCGGAGGAACAGCATCCTCACTTTGGAGTGGGACGGCGTGCCTTTCAACAGGGTCGTGTCCCCCGTCTACAGGGCTACAGAGGAGCAGGTGAAGGGCTGGTTCAGGGTGTCTGACTACACTCAAGATGGCCACATGACACTGTCAGTGTTGTGCTATTTCCCCATTGTGGAAGAGGAGGATAGGGTGCGACGGGAGGAGCCTCAGAAAAAGAGGGAGAGGGATGAAGAGGATGAGAGCAGCGCTGATGTCCCTAAACCAAAACGCCTCAGAGTGTAATTGCCTCCGCCGGTGGGGGGGGGGGGGCCACCTCAAGTGCCTTAATGTGAAGGAGCGTCAAGAGATTCTCATCCTGTTGGTTTGGCTGCAAACCATCCCAGTTTGAACTGAAGGTCTCAACTGATGAATCGTAACAGACTCTGTCTGCTCCTCAGCTCAGAGAGTGTGTTTGACTTTGTACAGCCAGAAAATTTTATTTTCATGAATAAAAAGAGAGAAGAGAAAAGATCCTGTTTTCCTCATAATTTCACCATGGCTAACGCTTTTTAGTGTGTTAACATATAGATTTAGACTATCACTGATTCTTGGCTGAGCTTCTACCAGGATCTGAAATTGACCCCTGGGGACAAATAAAGTTTATTGAATTGAATTGAACCAGGTTCTTCTATCAGATATAACTGTTATCTGTTACCCATACCCAATACACCACAGGAGTTCACCTCACAGAACCAGTCCTGTTCCTGGAGGTTCAATCAGCCTTGATGTCACAGATCAACAGAAATCTGAATGTATTACTTTGCAGATGAAGATTATGAAAACAAATCAGATCAACCTATAAAATGTGGTGTGTCAGATTAAAGTACACCAGTCTGTAGTTTGAATAAAGTTTTTAATTTTACTTGTTGAGTATTTTTTATATTGTTTATATCTTTCCTCCACTGCACTGCTGCATGCACATTTAAACCTCTTCTAAACAAGAGGATGAAAACAAGCACACACACACTTTACTGTTTCCTTTGGGTGCCTGCCAGTGGACGGTTTACTGCTGTGTTATGACTCATCCTCGGCTTCTGTATCCTGAGGCATGATAACTGAGAATCACAGACACACACAGGCCTACTTCGGTTTGGACGGACCGCTCATGTATGAGGTGGATGGATGATGAAGAAGCAGTGCAAACTCACTGGTTCATCATGTTTGACTCAAAAGACTGACAATGATTTTCTTTTTTTTTTTTTTTAAACTGCTGTGTATTGAGACAAAAATTGAGATTCAGAGTGAAGAATGAGGATTCCAGTGACAGGGAAGATGATGATGGTTATAGTCTCTCAGCTGGATCTTAGGCTGGGGCCACTAGGAGGAGAAAATGAAGGGGATTTATACATATGTAAGATTATAAAACAAATGGACAGGGCTGCAGTGTGCTGATCAGCACACACAGGCATTCTCTATCCTCTCCTTACCTCAGCAGAGTAGCTGGCTTGGTACTCTGTCAGCAGTGGCTCTCTGTTGGGCTCTGTGCAGGAGACAGTGGGCTGTATATGGGCCAGAGGCCGGGTGCTGCCGTGAGGGATGTGGGGTGGGAGGGTCTGCATCTCAAAGCAGCAACTTTTAGGGCGCTCAGTTTCCCCAGCAATGCTGAGAGCGAGAGGAGGGGAGAGAAAATGTCATAAAATAACACATAATAGGAAGTCATAAAAAAACGTCATAGTATAGAAAGTCATAAAAACAACATGGTATGGTAAGGCTACTATACTATGGCGTTTTTATGCCTTACTATACTCTGGCATAAAAAAGTAAGGCATGAAAACGCCACAGTGTAGTAAAGCATAAAAACGGCATATTATAGTAAGGCATAAACATGCCATAGTATAGTAAGGCATAAAAACGAGATAGTATAGTAAATCAAAAATACCATAGTATATATAGTGAGGCATAACAATGTCATAGTATAGTAAGGCATAAAAACGTCATAGTATAGTAAGGCATAAAAACGTCATAGTATAGTAAGGCATATAGTTTTGGTAGAGCACCGATTTTGTAGGGGAACTGCAGACCCCACCATTTCCAGGTGTTAAGGTAGTTATAGCTCGTTAAAAACACTTCATCTGTGTTCTCTATGGAATCACATGACTAGCTTGCACATTAGCAAACACTCTAATCAGAAGCTATCATGCTAGTTTGGTCTGGACCACACTCATTACTCCAGGGGGCTCTGCCCTGTCCCAGAGGTCACATCTGAAATACCTCCACATCTGAAAATAAACTTAATGGTTTATAGAAACACTGGTGAAAGTTTCATGCTTTAGTCATAAAATGCATAATACTTTCCATATACAAGCTTATCTGCTGCACCAATAGTGAGATATCTGAGAAGAAATTTGAAAGATTAGTTTTAGTCGATAAAAAGTTGAGGTCTGTGTCTGTGGCTTACCAACTGCATTGCCTTGACGTCGGCTGAAGGACGGAGCTGTTTCTCAGTCCTACAGCTGGTCTCAAGCCCCTCATGTAGGCGCCGTTCTCCCAATTTTCAGCATCTAATCAGAAGTGGGAATTTAAGTGTTTTCATTCAATTACTCCACTTCATTGCAAGTATTTGTGCACGCGGTGACATCACAGTCTGTCTGCTCTGTATAGCACTCAGTGTGACAGCTCCCATCTCTCACACCCAGAGTTTCATTGCTTTATCCCACACTGTGTTTGGTCTTGTCTAACCTCTCAGCCTCACAAAAGTAGAAGTTTCCGCCTTGATTTTACTGTAAAGGGTCATTTTGGGCACCAGAGTTTGTGCATCAAGGAGCATGTGTGTTTCATAGAAGAAGAGTGTGTGTGTGTGTGTGTGTGTCTGTGTGAGAGAGAGTTGATCTACCTTTGTTTGTGACAATGGGACTGGAGGCCACAGGAAAGTGGAGCAGGTGCTGCAGCCCGGCCTCTCTGCACACAGATCTAAGGAAATCTTCACAGCAGGCCGGAGCAACATGGGATGAAACCACAATCGCACCTAAAAGTGCAGAAAATATGGAACGGGATTACGACAATATCAGATATGTTTCTCTAATTTCAGCCTCTTTCAAAGCAAAAATCATTTGTTTCAATCACTTCAAACTGGTATCTCATTGTTAGACAAATATCAGATGAATCAAACACTGGGAGTCGTCTAACCTTTCTCATAGAGAACATCAATCTTCTGATGTGGCTCATCTTTTGCCTCATACTGTGCCAAGACATTTGCTGTCAATAGAGGAAGCTGGATTGAGTTTCTCTACACCTGCCAGCTTAGTTGGGTGTGTGTGTGTGTGTATGTGTGTGTGTGTGTGTGTCAGAGAGACAGAGAGAGCTCCTTACCCTTTCCACCACAAACACAGTGCAGCTGACCGTTCTTCTCCACGCCAAGTGAATGCCCAGTCTCCCTGGCGACTCTCGCATCTTGTGTCCTGCCCTCTGTCAGGGTGGAGCCAACAACCCCAGTCGCCACGAATGTAGATGGGGGGGCATGGAAGAGGTGATAAGAGGGAGGCTGAGGTACAGAGCATGGAGAGGGTGAGGATCATGGTGGTACAAGTAAATGAAAACTAGTTTAAAATAGAGGTTTTTGTGAACTTGCTGCAGGTGTTAGTGTGTGATGTTGTGGTTCACCTGTGCAGTTGAGCCATAGGTGCTGTTGGTTGTCTTGTAGAAATAATGGTAAAATATAGGCCAGGTTTCACGTTTAAGCTATGAAAACAACACAATAAACAAGTAAGAATTAATGTCAAAGAAATGTGTCTTTGTTTTTCCTGTTATAAATCTATTCAGTGATCTAGCCGACCTGTGGTGGGGGGATAAATGCAGGAGCAGGTTCAGCTTCAGTTCCAGGGTTCAGCTGGTTGACCTGTAGATAGCGCTCACTGAAGGGTCTGTAGTCACTGTTGTATGTTGTGATGAATCTCTCCCAAGGCTCTTGACCTTTAGTCTGGGAGGGAAAAAAATGATTTGTGTTAAAGTTAATAAGTAGGAATTTACACAATGGTCAGACATACACTGTAGCTTAGCTCAAAGACAGGATTCAGGCCTACAGTATCAGGAACTGTGGTTCTACCTTGAACAGCTTTTTGTCAGCCACTGGTGAAGGAAAGATTCAGATCCTTTATAGAAAAGTCCTCAGTTGAAAATATCAATTTAGTAAAACGACATAATTATTAACAAAAATGTACTTTAAGTCGAATCAATTCACAGACATGGCCCCTGTGACTGTTATTGGGTTGTTATTGTCAATGCACTGTGTACAGTGAGCAGCATTTTACTGTGGTAGTATCTGTAAAGTGTCACATAAGTAGCAAGAAATGGAAATAGTCCAGTGAAGGACAGTAGGTCTGTCAAATTATAGCACGATGCTTGAGGTTTTTAATAAATAAGTAGTAGTATTTAAAGAAGTAGTGTTAATAAGGAGACTTGTTGTATGCATGAGGTGAGACAGGACTTTGGTAACGTAGCAGTTGTGCTGACTGACATGTTGGTGCACTTTGTGGATGATGACAAATTTGCCTGGAGGCTGCAAACTACATGGAAGCAAACTGTCAGACACAGCAGAGCTCTGTTCTTTTTTAAAAAACATCTTTTAAAACCTTCTCATTTCAATTCAAAACACACTGATAAAAAACAAAAATATAACAGCCACTATTGCATAATTCAACACAAAAATGTGTAAAATTAAGAAAAATCAAGCGTGTTTACCTTCAGGTGTTGTGAGGGAATCATCTGATGGTTTTCTGACTCCTCTCTGGCAGAGTATCACAGCAGTGAAGCTGAACTGAACTGAGGAGCCAGACTCAGTGGAATCTTACTGCTGTTGTTTTCAATCAAATTCTGTTTATTCTATTGATATTCATTCTATTCACTGTGGCAGCACACACAATTACTGCTGCTTCCTTTACATGTCTGTCCCATTACTTCTGCGATGTGCGAGCGAGGTGCTGTGCATTTAAACAGAAAGGCTGTGAATCAGCAGCAGCCTGTGGGCAATGTGACATGGGTAGAAACAGTCCAAACACTGACACAACTTGTAAAGCAGTATCACACCTTGCTACTTTTTTTTTTCCTTTTTTCCTGTTAGACCCAAATGCATCATGTTTTTTTTGTAAATCTGACTGTCTAATATAAGCATTATGTCTTCAAATGACAAAACATGTTGCATAAAAATTGATAAACAGCAAATGGCTGTGTTGTGAATAAAGATACATCAAGTATTATCTTAGTGCATGCAGACCCAAGAAACTGAGTGCTTCTTGTTTAAGTTTCTGCATCACCATTGAAGAAATGCAGACACTGTGATGTGTCTGCCACAAGCAGGGAGGTGGTGTAACAGCACCATCTATTAGTAAACAACAAAAGTGCAAAGAAGCTGCGAAAGAATGAACCAATTTCTCTGCCAGTAATAAGTGGACATATGAACAATTAGCATTTTTAAACCTACACTTGTGTTAGGGAACTTCAATTATCTTGGGGATCAGAGATTATTTACAACCATGAATTAGTTTTCTGGCAAATTAGCAGTATTTTTATTAGAAATGTCAAATGTAAACAAGTGTTACAAAGGTGCAAAGATTTGGAATGACAGTCAAATGAAAGTAATAGTTCCATTTTCAGAATAACAGCTGTTAAACCACCACAATCTGGAATATTTTCGACCACTCAATCAATCATTATCATTATCATTATGATAAGCATTATTAGCAATGATAATAGTAATTACATACTGGCCAGTACACGGTATTCTCATTGGCTGCTGCTGTTGAAAGTGTGCTGGTAGAAGACATTGGTGTTGGCTGCGTAGTCCATAGTTATCTTGGTGCCTACACTCTGAGCCCCAAGACTGGCGCCGCCGAGGGCCGAAGACTGCCGCAAGATCAGGAGGTTGTAGCCACGGAAACGGCCCTTGAACTTGTCAGATGATGCCAATTTATCTAGGACCTCAGTGAACCCTAAACAGAGACAGAGAGAGACACAAAAAATGAGGCTTCTTCTGTACAATGGCTTCATCCAACACTTTCCACTGCTGCACTTGCTTTTCTGAGGGGCCCCAGGGACACTGACCTGGCTTCAAAAAATCCCAGCTCCTCCACACTAAACCCTCACACAGGATGGGCAGGCCGAGGTCGCCACTCAGCAGAGGCTGTAAAGAGCGAAAAATTAAGAGATTTGGAGAAATTCAAATGAGTGAAATCACAGCTATGTACTGCATGTGTGTACGTCTGGATGTTACCTCTTGTGCTGCGGGTAACACTGCTTCGATGTGTTTTGCCAGGGCTCTCCCTGCCTGAGTGAACACATACCGACACAGAGCGTCCCCGGCCTCCGCGCCTTAAACAAATAACACAGTTTTCAGTTTAATTTACTAATTAATATTTTACTCTCTTTAAACAAAATGAAGCAGGAAGGGATGCACCACCCACCTTCAGCTAGTTTCTTGCAGAAACCGGCAAAGTGTGACTTCCGGAAGTTTCTGTAGAGGTGCGGCAGCATGCCCATCAGATCTGACACCTGGGGTGAATGCCATGTTTGTGAATGTGCTTCCCTCAGCGTCTCCCTACTCTAACTTGATTTTATATTATTTCATAAATGGAAACATTTTTAATAAGAGCTGTAAAGTGATTGATTCAGTGACTTCTGTTGCAATCTGACCTGGAAGTATTCCTCCATGGCTTTTCTGACATGGGTGATGTCATGAGGGGGAGTGACCAGGTTGTCTTTGGCATCAAACACCGTCTTCACCGCCAAATGAGCAATCCAGAACCCTGAAAGACACAACACCAATAAAACTGTACATTCTCCGATTTTAAATGCGCAGTGTGTCTGTGTTTGCATTTGCGTATTGCCATGGTTACCCGATCCTTCATCACCCATCATGTGACCCCAGCCTCCACAGCCGATGTGTGAGCCATCAGGATTGACTAACTTGCAGTTAGAGCCGGTCCCTGATATCACTACTACACCTCCTACAAAGGAAAAAAACAACGATGACTGCCTGGATCTCATTAAGCCATAAATTATATCACTTTTCTACAGCCACACCTTAAGAGGGTAAAATATCAACCCTTGCCCTGTTGTGACATGGTTAGGTCATGGTTTCTACTGTTTCTTTCAAATGTAAATTTACATCTACAGTAAAATTAGGTGCTAAACAAAACCTGATGTACATATTTACATGGTAAAATTTGTTGAAAATAAAAATGCATATGAGACTGAGATTCAATTCTGTGTAAACACAGCTAACACACACGTCTTTAGCACTTTTTAGTTTAAGTTTTGTACTGAGGCTTAATTACAATATAAAGCCAAAACAGAAAATGGCTAGTTACCATGATCGCTGGCGGTTGCCACGGCGCCAATGGCGTCAGTAGTGATGAAGTAGTGCTGGCTGAGACTGGGGAAGCGTTCCTTCATGAGAGCGATAAGTCTGTCAATGGCATCCTTTTGCTCCCCTCCACTCAGAGACATACCCTACACACACACACACACAACACACACACACACACACACACACACACACACACACACACACACA